TGCCTCCAGCCAGCATTTTCTTATTTCAGTTTTGGACAAAGTAGAGAAACAGTTTAAATTTCTATTAACTTTTTTTGTCTGTGACTTTATTGGGGAAATGTTCCTGCTCTTCCTGCTTTTTTGACATCTGTAAAAGAAAAGGGGCATAGTTTCCATGGTTCAGAGATAGCAGAGACAGGAAAAAAACATTGTAATAAAACATGGCACCTGCCCGGTCTATAACTGGCTTATGAAGCAAGGACTACGTGAACCGGGCAACGCATGTCAGTAATAAAGGAAAAAAGGTTCAAAAATCAACTTGCCAGCCAGCTTGCCAACAACCAAATTGACCTGTGTAACAGTATGCGTTAAAAACAGGGGTTTAGTTAGCACATATTTGCAAATACATACATAAGCCACAGAGCCACGTCACGGCACCCTGATATTCTGTGGTCCTAACTCTAAATAAACCCTTGTTTTTAACGCATACTGTTAGACAGGTCAATTTGGTTGTTGGTAAGCTGGCTGGCAAGTTGATTTTTGAACCTTTTTTCCTTTATTACTGACATGCGTTGCCCGGTTCACATAGTCCTTGCTTCATAAGCCAGTTATAGACCGGGGCAGGTGCCATGTTTTATTACACTGTTGTTTATAAGGTGAGTGAGTGCACTGGGCGCCCTGGCTGCCATTGTGCTACATGCTGGCTGTTCTTTGCACTCCTGTACCTTTAAGAAGGGTGGGCTCCCTTCATGTGCACCTGCCCCTTGTCTATCCTTTAAATGCATGTGCCTCTACTATGGGGACTCTCAAATTTGTAGATTTAGGACCACAGAATATCAGGGTGCCGTGACGTGGCTCTGTGGCTTACGTATGTATTTGCAAATGTGTGCTAACTAAACCACTGTTTTTAACGCATACTGTTAGACAGGTCAATTTGGTTGTTGGCAAGCTGGCTGGCAAGTTGATTTTTGAACCTTTTTTCCTTTATTACTGACAGGAAAAAAACATTGTCAGAAGTTTTAACTCTTCTTCCATCTAGTAAAAATATTTTTTCTTTTTCTGTTTCCGTCAGAGAGATTTGCCATCGTTTCCTATTTTGCTAAGAACTAAGAGCGAATTTGCTCATTAGTCTACAATAAAAACCCTTCCATGTTTTAGCTAAAATGAAATGAAAAGTTTTGACTACATTTGGCCTTTAAAGTACACATGTAATAATAAGAAAATTTCAGTCGCACTTTTTCCTGGCTGATCTTTTCATCCTTTTGACATCGCTGTAAAGATAAATTTCTGACACACAAAAAAAAAAAAAACAAAAAAAAACCCAGCAGGTTCAGATTCTGACAATGGCTATAGGAAGTTACTTAAAAGAAAAAGAACTTTGGCTGTACTTTTTCTGTGGATCACAGGAGTGCAGTTTGTTGTGCACTCCTGTGACCTATGTTCAACTGATAGAGGGCTGAAGCCCACTGTCAGCTGAAGCCACTCTGAGGAAAGATCCCGGCTTTAACCTCTTGGCACCAGCTGAGTGCAAATGTGAGGTCTCCCGGCGTCTGGGCCTAGATGCCGAGTGGCTGCACATTTGCGTTCTATTAAAAAAAACACATGTGCTGAGAGCACGGGCCCTGCTTGCTCCCAGCACACATGTCCGGTACTCACGGAAAGGTCCTGATCTCCTCTTTCGATCAGGACCTTTCCTGATCATGTGACCGCCGTGACGGTGTGTCACGGCAGTCACATGACCCTAAACCCTGCTCCACCTCCCGGCTTCTGAAATCTTTAAAGGGCTGGGAGGCACCAGCGTCAAAGGGTTAAAGTCGGGGTCCACCCCAGAGTCTGAAGAGGCACCTGGTTCTGCCTCTCAGCAAGTTGCTGAGAGCCTGAGCCAGCCGCCCCCTCCACAGCCCAGTGCTCCAATGAGCATGGGAGGGAGAGCAGAGAGTGGTGACTGAAAGTTACTGTTCCCCGTTCACACTGGCAATGAGAACTTAGCGATCAGCGGTCATGTTAATGCTGAGTTTTCACAGTTAGAGTCGGCGGTGGACAGATGCAGCATCATACTGATGCTGCATCCAGCTGGGTAAGTATTGTTTGTGAAAAAGAAAGCCAAACTTCTCCTTTAATGCTGAAGTGTAGTAGACACATATATGGGATTATTTAATAAAGCAGGAAAGTGCAAACTCAGGCTCACTTCTGCACAGAAACCAATCAGCTTCTAACCTCAGCTTGTTCAATTAAGCTTTGGCTTTAATAAAACCTGGAAGCTGATTGGTTTCTATGCAGAAGTGAGCCTGATTTTGTATTCCCCAGCTTTAGTAAATAAATCCCATAATACCTTTTTTTTGTTATCTCCTCTCCCCAATCAACATGCAAATAGAATTTTCATCCAACTCTTTGTGACCCATTGATGACATTACTGGGTCGCCTGTTGCTCTTTGTACTCAGTGACACAGTGATGTCATTAATGGGTCTGTCTGCTGCTCTTTCTACCAAGTAACCCAGTGATGTCATTACAGCGTCTTTCTCTTGCTCCTTGCTCCAAGTGTGGGAGGGGCCAGAAGGCAGAACAGGATCCCTTTAGACCAGCCTAATCCCACCTTCACACCACAGGGCAGTGCTGATTTTATTGTTGCAATGTGCTGGTTGGCTGAAAGGCACATCTAAAGGGATAATAGGGATGCATTTTTTTTTATATAATGCTCAGGAGCAAAATGATTGATGGCAAAGAAAGTTAACAGTTGCAGGAGGGGGCCAACCAGAGTGCTAATTGGGAAAAAGAGATGAATGAATGAATGAAGCCATTTAGAATGGAAATGAAAGAGGGCTCAAGATAGCTGCTGCACATTTAAAGGGTTACATTGTAAAGAATAAAGTTTGTAGGGAATTGAGAGTAATCAGTTTCAACATAGGTGAGGATCTGCTACAAGTGCGGGAATATAATAATAATAATAATAATAGCAACATCTCCAAGATACGCGCATTTTTAATCACTGAAACCACTAAGCAACTTATTCACTCCTTTGTTATCTCTCACCTTAACTATTGTAACTCCCTCCTCATTGGTCTGCTTAATCACAGACTATCCCCTCTTCAGTCTATCATGAATTTTGCTGCCAGACTCATCCACCTTACCAACCATTCCATGTCTGCCACCCCTCTCTGCCAATCCCTCCTCTTGCTTCCCATTGCCCAAAGAATAAAATTCAAAACATTAACAATAACATATAAAGCCATTTATAACTCTACCCCCAATGACATCACCAAGTTTGTCTCCAAATATCACCCAAACTGTCCTTTCCGCTCCTCCCACAACCTCCTGCTCTCTAGCTCCCTTGTCTCCTCTTCCCATGCTTGTCTCCAGGACTTCTACAGAGCCTCCCCATCATCTGGAACTCTCTACCCCAATCTATCTGAATATTGTCTACTCTGCTCACTTTTAGATAATCTCTGAAATCTTCTTCAGGGAAGCCTATCCTGTCTTCTGCTAAAAATAGAAACCACATTTTCTATTTCTCCCATTCAGTTCATCCCCCACAGTTATTACCTTTTGTACCACTATCCCCTCCCTCTTAGATTGTAATCTCCAAGGAGCAATTCCCTCCTAACCCTCTTGTATTGAACTGTATCTTGCTGTATTGACTCCCTTTATATTGTAAAGTACGGAGCAAACTGTTGGCGCTATCTAAATCCTGTATAATAATAATAACATTAAGAAGAATTAGAAAAATATGAGAGCATATAATACAACCTGATATGAGCTTTTAAACTGAAGGATGATATAAAAGCTTCCAATCCAATGTCCATCAGAAATCTGTGACCATATTCTGGTACCCAGATGTTATTCTTTGAAGCATAGTATGCCGGGTGCCTGTGAGGATTAATTCACATGGGTGGCAGAGTAGTGGTGACAACAGGTGATTTATCCACATTTTTAAGCAGATCCTTCATGCAACACTTTTCAGGACTTTCAAAAAACACTCACCCAAGCCCTAAATGGGCCATTTGCTGTATCATGTAATTTATTCTTTGTTTTGCCGTAAAGGAAACCTAACATAAGAAAAATTGTGAGACTGTCGTTGCTGACCTCTTTGTGGAAAAGCTAGATGTCTGGCTGTCATGCTGAAACAATGACTACAGATTTTTTTAAGTCATTAACCCATAACTAGACATGTGCGTTTTGTTTGGTTATGAATTGATTTTCAACTGAAATCGGATACAGTAACAAATGTCCACAAATCCGAAAGAAGTTATAACAAAATTAACTAATGCATTTGTTTAATTTGCTTCATTTGGACAACATCACATGATGTGATAGTAGTTCGAGCCCATGGGGAAATGAATTCAGTTTTCAAATTTGCTTGATAATTTAGATTCAAGTACCGTATTTGCCGGCGTATAAGACGACTTTTTACCCCTTAAAAATCTTCTCAAAAGTCGGGGGTCGTCTTATACGCCGGTATACGGCATACTGACACATTTTAGGGGGGCGGCGCGGTGCCGCCGCCGCCCCCCCCCTTCCCCTAAGGGAAGGGACACTAAGTACAGGGGTGGGCAGGGGCTATTTCTTACCTGGTTCCGGTCCCACGACGATCCGGTCCAGGAAGCGCCTTCAGTTCGGCCACTGGATGTTCGCGCGGCTGCTCGGCTCTGCCTCCTCACCAGCGATTGGCCGCCAGAACTGTAGCTCAGGAAAGGCACACAGGCGGCCAATCACCGGCGAGGGGGTGGAGCCGAGCGGCCCCGCGAAAATCGAGTGCAGGACCAGCAGGTAAGTGGTCAGTGTAGAGGTGCTGCTGCAACCACATATGCTGGCTGCAGCAGCACCATACGAGAACAGAGTCAGCAAGTGTCAGTGGGAGGAATAGTGCCCCATCATTGGTGTCACTGATACCAATGATGGAGCACTATTCCTCCCACTGATACCTATGATGGGGCACTATTCCTCCCACTGACACCAACGATGGGGCACTATTCCTCCCACTGACACCAACGATGGGGCACTATTCCTCCCACTGACACCAACGATGGGGCACTATTCCTCCCCCCCACTGACACCAACGATGGGGCACTATTCCTCCCCCCCACTGACACCAACGATGGGGCACTATTCCTCCCCCCCACTGACACCAACGATGGGGCACTATTCCTCCCCCCACTGACATCAACGATGGGGCACTATCCCCCCCCCCCACTGACACCAATGATGGGGCACTATTCCACCCCCCACTGACACCAATGATGGGGCACTATTCCACCCCCCACTGACACCAATGATGGGGCACTATTCCACCCCCCACTGACACTAATGATGGGACACCATTCCTCCCACTGACACCAATGTTGGGACACTATTCCTCCCACTGACACCAATGATGGGGCACTATTCCCCCCACTGATACCAATGATGGGGCACTATTCCCCCCCACTGATACTAATGATGGGGCACTATTCCTCCCACTGATACCAATGATGGGGCACTATTCCTGCCACTGATACCAATGATGGGGCACTATTCCCCCCACTGATACTAATGATGGGGCACTATTCCTGCCACTAATGCCAATGATGGGGCACTATTCCTCCCACTGATACCAATGATGGGGCACTATTCCTCCCACTGGTGTGCATTGGAAGAGGGGTAGTCTTATACGGCGAGTATAGCCCAAACACTACATTTTAGCAGGAAAAGTAGGGGGGTCGTCTTATACGCCCAGTCGTCTTATACGCCGGCAAATACGGTAAATTTGTGATTTAAATTGAATTTATAATTGTCCAGATAATCTAAATAAGAATTATTGTTGAAAGTATCCATGTATTATCCAATATGTTTAAGGGGCTCTAGACCCTTGTTCATCAATTCTTTAACCAGTCAGAGAAGATTAAATCTGGACTAAGGTGGAACTAAATGGCAGGGCAAACAATGGATTACCACAAATAACTTAGAAATGCATATACATTTGTTATCATTTTAAAAGGCCAACCTACAAGAGCAGTCAATTTTTACATTAACTTAAGCTTTCTCATTCACATGCATTAGCAATGAATACTAACTGTTCAACATTAAAAAAACATCATCTAAAGAGATGCTGGAGATGCCAAATAACAGATGTTCTGTGCTGCTTTGAAGCTAGATAGGTAACACTGAATAACAGAATTTAAGTCGACACGTCAATTGTAGAATTTTCTCTTCATTTCCAATTATGTGAAAAACAATTGTCATGAGCTACATCATTAAATGTGAATATTGATTGGGCAGTAGGAGGTTGTGTATGCATGTAGATTTTTTCATTCTCTTCCTAAAATATCAGAAACTCAGCAAGTATTTTGATGTTTACAGTATAATCTCAAATGTAAGAATGTATTTTATTAGTACATTTTTGAATATGTATGGAAGAGTGCCTGGAACAAAAGTTCATCTTGCTTAACTACCTGCCGACCGCAGATAGCCGAATGATGGCTACACTGCGGCCGGCCAGTTCTGGGTGGATGTCACATGACGTCCTCCCAGAACGCGCTCTCCTGTGCGCCCCAGGGGGCGCGCTCCCGGCGATCTCCGTGATCGCTGTGTCCTACGGACACAGCTGATCACGTGATGTGGTAAAAGGCCAATCACAGCGGCCTTTTACCACGTGATCAGCGGTGTCCAATGACACGCTGATCAGAGGAAAATGCAAGTGCCGGTTCTCGGCTGCACTTTCCTCACGCTGTCAGATCGTGAGGAAAGTACTGCCGAGAACCGGCAGTTGTCAGAGCGGGGATCGGCACCGATCATCAGGGCACTGATGATCAGTGCCCTGATGATCGGTGCCCAGCAGTTCCACCCGCAAGCTCCGCCCACCTGTGCCCAGCAGTGCAGTCACTAGCTCCGCCCACCTGTGCCCAGCAGATCACCCACCTGTTCCCAGCAGTGCACCCACCTGTGCCACTCTGCAGTGTCACACACCTGTGCCCAGAAGTGCCACCCACCTGTGCCCAGCAGTGCCACCCACCTGTGCCCCCACCCACCTGTGCCCACCCACCAGTGCCATCCACCAGTGCCACCCACCAGTGCTGCCAGTCAGTGCCACCAGTCAGTGCCCAGGGGTTGTGCCAGTCAGTGCAGCCAGTCAATGCCCAGCAGTGATGCCAGTCAGTGCCGTCTATCAGTACCCATCATCAGTGTCACCTATCAGTGCCGCCTATCAGTGCTGCATATTAGTGCCGCCTATCCGTGACACCTCATTAGTGCTGTCTATCAGTGCCGCCTATCCGTGCCACCTCTTTAGTACTGCCTATCAGTGCCCATCAGTGCCGCCTATCAGTGCCCATCAGTGCCGCCTATCAGTGCCCATCAGTGCTGCCTCATCAACGCACATCAGTGAAGGATAAAAATTACCTGTTTGAAAAATTTTATAATAGAAACAAAGAAACGTTTTTTTTTTTTTCAAATTTTTTGCACTTTTTGTATTTATAGCGCAAAAAGTAAAGTGCCCAGTGGCGATTAAATACCACCAAAAGAAAGCTCTATTTGTGAGAAAAAAATGATCAAAATTTCATATGGGTACAATGTTGCATGACCGCGCAGTTGTCAATCAAAATGCGGCAGTGCTGAAAGCTGAAAATTGGCCTGGTAAGGAAGGGGGTATAAGTGCCTGGTAGGCAAGTGGTTAAAGGAGTATTAAAATAACTTTTTAGTTCAAACAAGCAAAATATTATACCCAATAAAAGTTGGCATTGCATCAAGTAAATAGATACCAAATCCTTCATAGAAGAGGCTTTAGAGTCCTTTAAAAACATCAGTTTAACTGTGAAATATAGCCTTATAATTATTGCTCTCACTAAAAAGTTTGCAACAATGCCTCACTTGTGTGTTATAATTGGTGTTACATACATGTGCTTGCCCTACGCTGAAATTTGTTATGGGGTGTGTGCAAGGGTGACAGGGATGCTTAAAATTTAAAAAAAAATTATTTTAATGTATTTTATGCAACTCATTTTTTCTACCCTTTTTTTGTACCTTATTGCCATCACTTAGGGGACTTGTTAGCCCCTTATTTGATAGCATGGGAAGGTGAAAGGTCCTCTTTATGGAGACATTGGGGGTCTATTAGACACCCAGTGACTCCCCTACCCTCCAGTGCAACTATTCAAACACAGATCATGTATGAATAGCTGCATTCTGGGTTACACTGGCCGAGAAATTGCAGCTCTGACCCTGGAAGTGATGTAAAACACATAGCTTCTAGAGCAGCAATGGGCAAACTACGGCCCGCGGGCCGTATAAGGCCCGGCCGACCTTTTAATCCGGGCCGCGGAGCTAGGCTCCCGCTAGGCTCCTCTCACAGTCCGCCCTGAAGACCGGTGTAGCATGAAAATCTGTCTCCTATGAGGATCTGTCCCCCCTCGACGTTTCTGCGCATGTGCCGGAGATCGCCGATCGGCTGCTAATGCCTGAAACTGGCACATGCGCAGATACGTCGAGGGGGACAGATCCTCATAGGAGACAGATTTTCATGCTACACCGGAATGGCACGGGAACACGGCGAGAGGAACACGCGAAGCAAAGGTAAGTGAATTGACACAGGGGGGGACTTGGGGACTTAATATGGGGGATGAATTACTATATGGGGGATGAATTACTATATGGGGAATGAATTACTATGGGGGATGAATTACTATATGGGGGATGAATTACTATGGGGGATGAATTACTATATGGGGGGTGAATTACTATGGGGGGATGAATTACTATATGGGGATGATTACTATATGGGGGATGAATTACTATGGGGGATGAATTACTATGGGGATGAATTACTATATGGGGGATGAATTACTATGGGGGATGAATTACTATATGGGGGATGAATTACTATATGGGGGATTGAATTACTATATGGGGGATGAATTACTATGGGGGATGAATTACTATATGGGGGATTAATTACTATATGGGGGATGAATTACTATAGGGGGGATGAATTACTATATGGGGGATGAATTACTATGGGGGATGAATTACTATATGGGGGATGAATTACTATATGCGGGATGAATTACTATATGGGGGATTAATTACTATATGGGGGATTAATTACTATATGGGGGATGAATTACTATGAGGGATGAATTCTATATGGGGGATGAATTACTATGGGGGATGAATTACTATGGGGGATGAATTACTATGGGGGATGAATTACTATATGGGGGATGAATTACTATATGGGGGATGAATTACTATGGGGGATGAATTACTATGGGGGATGAATTACTATGGGGGATGAATTACTATGGGGGATGAAATACTATATGGGGGATGAATTACTATATGGGGGATGAATTACTATGGGGGATGAATTACTATATGGGGGATGAATTACTATATGGGGGATGAATTACTATGGGGGATGAATTACTATATGGGGGATTAATTACTATGCTTACTATGGGGGAATATTACTATACTTACTATGGATGACACATACACATCATTCATCTACTCTTGGTCCGGCCCCCGGGTCCAATATATGAACCCATTGCGGCCCTCAAGTCAAAAAGTTTGCCCACCCCTGTTCTAGAGTCATTAGTCTCAGGGGGTATCAAGGAACGGATGTTACCCAATTTCATCCTGCTTTAACTAGGGAAGCAGTTTCTTGTGGTCTTGGGCTCCCTGGTGGGATGGGAGAACTCAGGAACCACCAAGGGTGCCACAGGCAGTGGAGCCTTAGAGACCCCCATAAAAGTTATCAAGCAGCCCTAGAGTCACCTGGTCCCTTTTATCATAAAGTTTTTTGCTGGCTCTGAAAACCAGGGTTAAGCTCAAACTCAAGCATCATTATGTATCTTGGTGGACAAGTGGTTAGTGACAGCTAAAGATTCAAAAGTTTAGAAAAAACATTTTTTTAAATTTCATTAGCATGCTAAAGCTTCCTTGGTACTTTAGTGATTGACTTTACATATACTTTTAACATGCAATATATATAATGTATATTTAACTACATTCAGAGTGTGTTTATACCAGACATGAAACCAAAAAAACCCGTGCATAACTTGTACCACAACCCCTGAAGACACTCAGATTGTTAATATTAAAGAGGAAGAGTATGTTCACTTTCAAAGTGAATTTTCACTTATTTTAGTGAATAAGGTGAAATTGTGCTGACTTCAATCATCCAATCACGTGCAAGCAAAATCCTTGCACGTGATTGGGTATTCTTTGCACAGTAGATTTTCATTTTCTTAACCTCATTTACTAAGATCAGTGAAAATTCCCTTTTGAAAGTGAATAGGCCATTTAGCACATTACACTGGGTGACACATGACTGAAGTATTGTTTAGGTGGGTCCTATATCATCAGGTCTGCCTTGCTGTTAATTGACAGTGCATTGCAGTTTTGCCAAACCATAGCTGCTATTTAGTCCAATGGCAACTTTAGAATATGCCCACTGTCATCCACTGTCAATCAAAAATTAAATGGACCTGATGAGGAACTAGTCTCTCAGTTTACTATCAGGCTCTGCCCATCCAGTGACTCAAGTTATTTCCAAAATATGGGAATTGCCATATTTGATAATGACATCACCACTGCCAGTATTACAGCACATCAAGTCGATTCTGAAGCAAGATATAATGAAGTCCAATATCAGCAAACATGTTTCAAGAGCACAGTGTCCTTCTTTTTCAATGTGACCTACATAGGAAAAGGGTATTAAAAAAATGGACATACTGTATATATATTCCTAGTTTGGTATGCAATTTGTCCTTTTACATTTTTTTCTTCTTATAATTTTTGTTTTGTCTTTTTTTTTCTCTTTTTTTGCCCATGTTGTTTTATGTTCTTCAGGTATTTGGACATTCACCATCTAGTGTCTGTTTTCCATATTGCAACCTTTGTATTATAAAGTTCTGTTATATTTGAAATCCTTATGGGACAAACAGAAGAAATACCAGTTTGAGCATGTGCTAAATGTAATTTCCTGTCTATGGAACACATTTCCTTTATTTTGACCATTTTAGTGCTGATTCCAAAAGGTTGAATAGACTATTACTCTCCATCCTGACCACAGGACAGGGCCACGTAGGGTTGCCACCTCATCCATTTATAGCTGACACAGGTTCTGAGGTTAATTTAATGCAGATAAGACACTGAGTTTAATTATCATCTTAATCAGCTACAGAACCTGTGTAATTAATATGTTTTCAGTTTTAAAGGGATGAGGTGGCAACCCAAGGTACAACATGATATTTTCCATTTTAGACCACACAGGTGGCTGTCTTATTTGTGATACAGAGGTTCCTTCCCTGCTTTAGGCATATCAATAGCAATGATTTGTGACCAGCTACATCTTGTGAGGAATGGTATGGGTATACATACTGTATATATGCTCTATATATGCAGCATGTTTTTATATATATATATATATATATATATATATATATATATATATATATACAGTTGTGTTCAAAATAATAGCAGTGTGTTGAAAAAAGTGAATAAAGCTCAAAATCTTCCAATATCTTTTATTTCCATACACACAAATGCATTGGGAACACTACACATTCTATTCTAAATCAAAACATGATGAAAAATATATCAAATTTGTGTTGTTCCTCAGTGTTTGTATTCTCCTTTACAAACTCAAACATCTACTATATAAACTGAAAAATGTTTGAAGATTTTGCTTTCCTTTGAATCACTTAATTAATATTTAGTTCTTTAAGCACTGTTTCTGAGAACTGCTGTACATCTGTGTTGCATGGAGTCAACAAACTTCTGGCACCTGTGAACAGGTATTCCAGCCCAGGATGATTGGACTACATTCCACAGTTCTCTATTTCTTGGTTTTGCCTCAGAAACTGCATTTTTGATGTCACCCCACAAGGTTTCTATTGGATTAAGATCCGGGGATTGGGCTGGCCACTCCATAACGTCAATCTTGTTGGTCTGGAACCAAGATGTTGCACGTTTACTGGTGTGTTTGGGGTCGTTGTCTTGTTGGAACACCCATTTCAAGAGCATTTCCTCTTCAGCATAAGGTAGCATGACCTCTTCAAGTATTCTGATGTATTCAAACTAATCCATGATCCCTGGTATGCGATAAATAGGCCCAACACCGTAGTATGAGAAACATCCCCATATCATGATGCTTGCGCAACCATGCTTCACTGTCTTCACAGTGTACTGTGGCTTGAATTCAGTGTTTGGGGGTCGTCTGACAAACTGTCTCCGGCCACTAGACCCAAAAAACAATCTTACTTTCATCAGTCCACAAAATGTTGCGCCATTTCTCTTTAGGCCAGTCAATGTGCTCTTTGGCAAATTGTAACCTCCTCAGCACGTCTTTTTTTCAACAGTGGGACTTTGCGGGGGCTTCTTCCAGATAGCTTGGCTTAACATAGGCGTCTTCTAATTGTAACAGTACTCACAGGTAACTTTAGACCTTCTTTGATCTTCCTGGAGCTGATTGTTGGCTGAGTTCTTGCCATTTTGGTTATTCTTCTATCCATACGAATGTTAATTGTTCGCTTTCTTCCACGTCTTTCATTTTTTGGTTGCCATTTTAAAACATTTGCGGTCATTTTAGCTGAGCAGCCTATCGTTTTCTTTATATGTTTTCCCCTCTCCAATCAAATTTTTAATCAAGGTATGCTGTTCTTCTGAACAATGTCTGGAACATCCCATTTTCCTCAGAATTTCAGAGAGAAAAGCACTGTAACCAGCATGTACAACATTTGCTGCCTTCCTTCCTTAAATAAGGGCAATAACTGCCACCTGTTTTTCAAAGAATGAATGACCTCACTAATAGAACTCCACACTGCTATTATTTTGAACATGCCCCTTTCAATTAGTGATTCAATTACACAGAATCAGCAGCATTCATGTCATGACTGTTGGGTCTGTTGGATTTCTATTACTCTACTACACCTGCTAGTAAATTACTTGCCATGTAGAAATATCATTTCTACCAAAAACAGCGATTGATCAGGTTAGTGATGTCTGACTGTTTATTATTTTGAACACAACTGTATGTTGTATGTATGTGTGTATATATATATATATATATATATATATATATATATATATATATTAGAACTGTGCAAAAGTTTAAGGCAGGTGGGGAAAATTGCTGTAAACTGGGAATAGCAGAAATAGAAGAAATAGCAGAAATAATAGTGTCAATAGTTTATATTCATCAATTAACATAATGGAACATAAATGAACAGAGGAGGAATACAAATCAAATATATATTTGGCGTAGCCACCCTTCAAAACAGCATCAACTCTTCTAGATACAGTTGCGAAAAGTCTTTAGAGGAACTTGGCAGGTAGGCTGTTCCAAACATCTTGGAGAACTAACCACAGGTCTTCTGTGGAAGTAGGCTGACTCTTCATGTAATCCCAGACAGACCTGATAATGTTAAGATTAGGACTCTGTGGGGGTCACACAATTACATCCAGGACTCCTTGTTCTTTATGCTGAAGATAGTTCTTAACCACTTCCAGACCGGACACTTTTACCCCCTTCCTGACCAGGGCAATTTTCAGCTTTTAGCGCTATCACACTTTGAATGACAATTGCGCGGTCATGCAACACTGTACCCAAATGAATTTTTTACCATTTTTTTGAGATAGATAAAGCTTTATTTTGGTGGTATTTATTCACCACTGGGATTTGTATTTTTTCTGCTATGTAAATGAAATGTCCAAAAATTTTGAAAAAAAGTGTTTTTTTTATAAAATTTTGCAAATAAATAATATTTCATCATAAATCTTAGCCAAAATTTATTCCGTTACCTTTTTAGTAAAAAAAAAAAAAAAATCCAAATTAGTTTATAAGCAAAAATTATAATTTTATAATTTTTTATATTATTATTTTTTATTTTTTACATACTGTCACCCTAGCAGTACAGTGTCACCATGGTGACACTGTACTACTTGTGAGGGGTGATGAAGATTTTTTTTTTTTTTTTTTACACTGATTGCTTTTACACCCATATAGGATGTAAAAGCAATCATTTCTCTTTCTCTCTGTGTGCATTCTTGCACTCATTGAGAAGAACTGAGTGAGCTGTGATTGGTCACAGCTTGTCACATGGTACAAGGCTTTTGTGAATAGCCTTGTACCATGTGACCTCTGTGATCATTCACAGATTTCACACGTAGTAAGCAATGATGTCAGAAGTGACATCTTGCTTACTACTTTGCATGTGATCACTGATTGGCCAATCAGTGATCACATGATCGGGACCTCGTACAGAGGTCCCGTCCGACGATCAGTGTTTCACTGTGTCCGGAGGACACAGCGGGCACCGGATCGCGGTGCTGCGCGCTCCCAGGGAGCGCGCACAAGCAGGGTGCGGGGAGGCCGTTTATAGACGGCCACCCGACCCTGCAGTGCCACCGTCCGGCCGTTTATATACAACAGCCGGTCGGGAAGTGGTTAATGACATTAGCTGTATGTTTGGGGTCATTGTCCTGCTGCAGAATACATTTGGGGTCAATCACACACTTCCCTGATGGTATGGCATGATGGATAAGTATCTTAATTTATCAGCATTGAGGACACCATTGATCCTGACCAATTCTCCAACTTCATTTACAGAAATATAGCCTGATACTTGCAAGGAACCTGTACCATGCTTCACTGTTGCCTGCAGAAATTCACTATTGCACTGCTCTCCAGCCCTTCAACAAACACACTGCCTCCTGCTACAGCTAAATATTTAAAAAATTTTCTCATCAGTCTAGAACACCTGCTGCCATTTTTCTGCACTCCATTTCCTATGTTTTTGTGCATAGTTGAGTTCCTTAGCTTTGGTCCTTAGCCTAGTTTCTAGAGCAGCGGTTCTCAACCTGGGGGTCGCGACCCCTTTGGGGGGGTCGAACGACCATTTCCCATGGGTCGCCTAAGACCATCGGAAAACACATATTTCCGATGGTCTTAGGAACCAAGACACCGCTGCTGTCTCCGGCGATGTGTGGGCGGGATGATATGCTGCCCCTGTCACCGCCTCCTCGCCGCTGATTGGCCACCGGAACTGTAGCTCAGGAGAGAGGCATACAGGCGGCCAATCACCGGCGAGAAGGTGGAGCTTGGAGAGGAGGAGCCGAGCGGCAGCGCGCGGGGAGATCGAAGAAGATCGAGGGAGCTGCAGGAACGAGTGAAGAGAGAGGCCAGAGAAGGAAGACAGCTGACAGGTAAGTGCAAATTTTGCTGCTGCAGCCAGGTATGCAGGCTGTAGATGGGAGAGGGAGAGAGCGAGCCCAGGCTGGAGCAGGAGTCAGCAAGGTAAGTATCATTGGTGTCAGTGGAAGGGATAGTGCCCCATCATTTGTGTCACTAATACCAACGATGGGGCACTATTCCTCCCCCCACTGACACCAACGATGGGGCACTATTCCTCCCCTCACTGACACCAATGATGGGGCACTATTCCTCCCCTCACTGACACCAACGATGGGGCACTATTCCTCCCCCCACTGACACCAACGATGAGACAGTATTCCTCCCCTCACTGACACCAACGATGGGGCACTATTCCTCCCCCACTGACACCAACGATGGGGCACTATTCCTCCCCCCACTGACACCAACGATGGGGCACTATTCCTCCCCCCACTGACACCAACGATGGGGCACTATTCCTCCCCCCACTGACACCAACGATGGGGCACTATTCCTCCCCCCCACTGACACCACCAACGATGGGGCACTATTCCTCCCCCCACTGACACCAACGATGGGGCACTATTCCTCCCCCCACTGACACCAACGATGGGGCACTATTCCTCCCCCCACTGACACCAACGATGGGGCACTATTCCTCCCCCCACTGACACCAACGATGGGGCACTATTCCTCCCCCCACTGACACCAACGATGGGGCACTATTCCTCCCCCCACTGACACCAACGATGGGGCACTATTCCTCCCCCCACTGACACCAACGATGGGGCACTATTCCTCCCCCCACTGACACCAACGATGGGGCACTATTCCTCCCCCCACTGACACCAACGATGGGGCACTATTCCTCCCCCCACTGACACCAACGATGGGGCACTATTCCTCCCCCCACTGACACCAACGATGGGCACTATTCCCCCCCCACTGACACCAACGATGGGGCACTATTCCTCCCCCCACTGACACCAACGATGGGGCACTATTCCTCCCACTGATACCAATGATGGGACACTATTCCTCCCACTGATACCAATGATGGGGCACTATTCCTCCCACTGACACCAATGATGGGGCACTATTCCTCCCACTCATACCAATGATGGGGCACTATTCCTCCCACTCATACCAATGATGGGACACTATTCCTCCCACTGACACCAATGATGGACCACTATTCCTCCCACTGATACCAACGATGGGACACTATTCATCCCACTGACACCAACGATGGGACACTATTCCTCCCACTGACGCCAACGATGGGACACTATTCCTCCCACTGACGCCAATGATGGGGCACTATTCCTCCCACTGACGCCAATGATGAGGCACTATTCCTTCCACTGACGCCAATGATTGGGCACTATTCCTCCCACTGATGCCAATGATTGGGCACTATTCCTCCCACTGACGCCAATGATGGGGCACTATTCCTCCCACTGACACCAATGATGGGGCACTATTCCTCCCACTGACACCAATGATGGGGCACTATTCCTCCCACTGACACCAATGATGGGGCACTATTCCTCCCACTGACACCAATGATGGCGCACTATTCCTCCCACTGACACCAACGATGGGACACTATTCATCCCACTGACATCAGTGATGGGGCACTATTCCTCCCACTAACACCAATGATGGGGCACTATTCCTCCCACTGACACCAATGATGGGGCACTATTTCCTCCCACTGATACCAACGATGGGACACTATTCATCCCACTGACATCAGTGATAAGGCGCTAGTCCTCCCACTTCAAAATTACAGTTATGAAGTAGCAACGAAAATAATTTTATGGTTGGGGGTCACCACAACATGAGGAACTGTATTAAGGGGTCGCGGCATTAGAAAGGTTGAGAACCACTGTTCTAGAGGTTTGCCCACAATTTTCGATAAAATCCAGTCTGGCCAGACTTCTCTGTATGATGTGTCTTTCATCTGCCACATTAAGTTCCTTGGCCAACCTAAGCCACTGCATCTACAGTCCTTAACATTGTCCATTTTTTCAAAAGAGCTTGAACAGCACATCTTGAACCCCAGTCTGCGTTGAAATCATTGCCTGGGAGAGACCTTGTTGATGCAATGTAGCTACCTTTTGTCTTGTTGCTATGCTCAATCTTGCCATGGTTTATCAACTGTGACATAAAACTGTCTTCTACAACCTTGCCTTAGTAGCAGAGTTTGGCTGTTCCTCACCCAGTTTTAAGCCTCCTGCATAACTGTTTCGGTTTTCAGTTAATGACTGTCTTCCAATTAGCATCTGCTTGGTATAATTAGTTAAACATAGACATGACTCTAATCCTACAAAACCCCTGACTTTGTGCAAGTGTATAAAGTGTGCAAGTGTATGATTTGGTGCTTGTTGGAAGGCAAAGGGTAGTCACACCAAATATTAATTTGATTTAGATTTTTCTTCTGTTTGCTTATTTGCATTTATAAGTTGATAAATATAAACAAAATATATATTTTTGAAAACATTCTAACTTTACAGCATTTCTTTCCATCTGCATAAAATGTTTGAACAGTACTGTATATACAGTAAGTATATGCAACAGTGATAGGTTCCTAAAGTTGCAGTAGTTAGAACTACCTGAATTTGGTACATGTGTCAGTAATGTTACTGAAACTGACTTAAAGTGATTGCAAACCCTTACCTTGTAAAACAACCCATTCTGTTTGAAATAGAAATGAAAGACAAAACATTTGTATATAGATATAAAAATAATATAAATATCTTCCCCTTTTTTATAAGTGATTAAATACCCTCTGTTCTCAGCTGCATAAGAGCAGGGGTAAAAGAAACAGCAGCACACTGAACTTCCTAAGTGAAAGACTGTGCGGGGGGGGGGGGGGGGGGGGAAGGGGGCTTGTCAGGACAAGTCTGATCATTGGAGGAGAGCAGGCTGAGTTGCCAGCAGAGCTTTAGAACTGGCCAAAATGTGCTTTCCTGCTTAGTGTGGTCAGTTTTTTTTATAGGAAAGCAGAGGGACTGGCAGCAACACCAGGGATTTCACACAAAGGAAGCAATACAAAGAGAACAGGATACTTTTTCATACAAGTACATGGTACAGCAGGCACATATCAGGAATATGAAATGTTGGGTTTTCATATTCTTTAAATGCTTGAATTAGGTAAAGGTAATTCTAAAGGAAATTGCTTCTTAAATCCTCATGCACACTTGACGTTTTTACATCTGCTGTTTTTGGCTTTTGACTTTTTTTTTATAGCCAGTAAAACCCCAGTATGCTATCCTATGTGTCCATGCACACATAGACTGTAATCAACATTTTTTGGCTCGGCCGTTTTTTGGCTGGAGAAAAAAACCCAGGACTAGTGGGTTTCTAGAGGAGTATTTTAGCTGTAAAAACGCTCTAGTGCTGAAAAATGTGGCAAAATGCAGTAAAATGCTGCAAACCAGCATTTTTTGGACTTTTTTTGACAAAAAATATAATTTTTTTGGTTAAAAAAAACGCTAAACATGCAAATGCAGAAAAACGCATGAAAATGCAGCTAATTGCTGCAAAATGCCACTAAACAGTAATGCAAAAATGCTAAAAAAAAGCTGAAAAACTTATGTTTTTAATGGGACTTTACACAGCTAATGTTACCAGCGTTATCAAAACATCCAATGTGCATGAGGGCTTAAAGTGTTGTTACTGCTCTATTGAATTCCCCTGAGGATGTCCCATGCTATATGAAAAAAATTAAACACTGGTACCCATTACCTGCTCCTGGGTAAGGTAGCCTACACCCAGGGTCGGATTGACCAATTGGAAACTCGGGCACTGCCCGAGGGCCGGGGGTCAGTAGGGGGCCCCATCAGATGCCCCTGGTACCTTTTTTCATAGGCTTTTTTGAGTTTGGGCAAGGACACAGGGGCTCCATGATCCCCTATTGCCCGGGGTCCCCATGAGTTGTCAGTCTGCCCCTGCCTACACCTTTCAGATTTCATTTTGTAGGGACTATAGAGCTCTGTATAAACACAGTTGTATATATTGTTCTAAACTTTTTAAACTTTTCAACCATCCTTCAGATGACAACTCTTTAAAAAAAGAACAAGGGAAAAAAGGACATTATTGAAAGGTTTATATAAAATGTACATGTAAAATAAGCTTTACTGAATTTAATAAGAGTGTTTTAGTGAGAAAAACAGGTGCGCACACACCTAGTGCATTATCCAAGGTTTATTGTAGGAATTAAATCATAAAAACATACTCACAGACGAAGCATGTATCTAAAAAGCATAGAAAAATGACAATGGCCACAACGGCAGGCAAGGTGTTCTCACTGTCAGTGCGGTCAAATGGCTGACGCGTTTCGGGGACGAATCCCTTTCCTCAGAGCTGATGACCAACCTCTGATGCTGATGCACGATGAATGGAAAGTAAAGTGAGAGCCCTGCTGTTGATGCCTTGGATAATGCACTAGGTGTGTGCGCCACCTGTTTTTCTCTCTATCCAGTGGCTGATTTCCCCGTCTGAGGAGGCTGCGCCCCTGGAACATTTCCTTTTGGTTGTCGCTGTCCTGGTACCCTTGGCTTCCCTTTGGCTGTGCACTGAGGCGCTGGAGAGTACATACGCTAAAGAGTGTTTTAGTGCCACAAGTGCTCCAAAGTTTACGGTCACTAACTTTTACGACAGCTGTAAATAATTACCCATAGGATGTACTTCTAATTCTGTACTGAACACCAAAGTCTAACCACATCCCTTGAACCAGCTATTTAAACACAGACAAAGAAAGCATGAAATAAACATTAGCAATATTCAAAAGTCGAAATCCAACCTATACCGCTCATTCTCCATTCTATCCATCTTCATTTGTATTTTCTTTGATTATAATGTTCACGAATCTAGGCATCCGCTGAGGAGGAATAATAGTCCATGCCTGAGCTGCCTGCTGCAATGTTTCGAGTCGACAATAAAGAAAAGCATATTTAATTATTCCTTTAGAATCAATGTTTCCTTTATGTTTCTATTCATGTGCAGTAAAAAAATGCATATTTTTTTCTTATAAATGTCTACACTGCAATCCAGAATCTTATAAAGGATAGCCTTAGAAAAGCAATAGAGAAATAATGTTCATTTTTTAAAACAAACACCATAATTGGACTGAAAAAAATCCTGGGCATTTATATTTACACAGTGCAAATCTCCACTAAGAGATTAATCACTTCCTGACCAGGCCATTTTTTCAAGCTACAGCGCTGCATTACTTTAACTGACAATTGCGCGGTCATGCACCCAAACTAAATTTACATCCTTCCCATAAATAGAGCTTTTTCTCAGTGGTATTTGATTGTCTGTGCATTTTTTTTTTAATTTTCTGCGCTATAAAAAAGAAAGACCGACAATTTTGAGAAAAAAAAATAATATTTTTGACTTTTTGCTTTTAAACATGCCCATTAAAAAAATTTAAAAAATCAAATTTCATCATAAAATTAGGCCAAAATGTATTCTGCTATATGTCTGCTATATGTCTTTGCTAAACAAAATCTCAATACGTGTAAATTAATTGGTTTACGTGAAAGTTATAGTTTTAGGCGGTATAGATACAGGAATTTTTTTTTGTACTAGTAATGATGGCGATCAGCGACTTACAGCGAGACTGTGGGACTGCGGCAGGCATTCTGACACTGGGGGGAACTGACTTGGTGTCACTGACACCAGTACAGTGATCAGCACTGACACTGTGTGTGTTTTACTGTGGGGCTGTGTGTGTGATTTTTACTCTAAGCACACTGATTTGTATGGCTCTGCTATGTCAGTAGGGTGCCCCATGAGATGCCCCTGGTACCTTTTTCATAGGCTTTTTTTAGTTTGGGCAAGGACACAGGGGCCCCATGATCCCCTATTGCCCAGGGGCCCCATGAGTTGTCAGTCCACCCCTGGTCCCGCCACTGCAAATTTGTAAAAGTCAGTGTTAAGTCAGAGCCCCATAACATTGTTTGATCCAGGTCTGTTTCTAAAGTATTAACCTCCCTAGCATTCTGATTATGTCAGTATTTCTGTGCTCAAAGCGGTACTTTTTTTGCATGGAAATATGTTGTTTTTTTTATTGTAGGCCTGTAATTCTTAGGAATAACTCACTGAAATCTGTCCGAACAAGATCTGTCATCCCGGGTATGATAAAATTTGAAACACAAAATCATAAATTATAATATAATAAATAATCATAAAAAATAATAATATAATAATAAATTTAATTCAATAATGTAATCAAACCAAAAACACTAAAATTTGAAATAGAGCGCCAAGTTTGCACATCACTGAGCTCAGTCGCAAAATTCGTTTTCAGTGCCTGATGACAAATTTCCCCACAAATCATTATCACTAAAGGGTCACTTTTTGGACCCCATGGACGTTTCTTTCAGGCAGAAAGAACAGTAAAAATGCAGGCAGGGCACAGGACAAAGCACTATGGACAAAATGTATGTGAAATGGTTTTATACAGTGTTTACTATGAGATTTTAGTGTATTGAGTGAATGTCACTTTTTAAATTTTTTAATTTCCCGCCGGTTCCATCCCACGTCCTGACGCTCGCAGGGAATGGAACCCCGAAGACGGATGCCCCAGAGGAGATGGCCGGGATGCTGGGGGTGGCATCGTGGGAGCGCAGGACAAAGTAAGTGATGGAGGGAATCCCTGAGCAACACTGCAGGGTAATCCCGAGTGTAGCTCGTGGTTACCGCTTCTGGTACAAAAAGTTAACCTTGAGCTACAGTCGGGAATACCGCCAGGGGGGTTAAAGTCATTGAATGAGCAAATTTTCTAGAAGAAAAGTTAACAATGGCATCTTCCATATTCTCCCAGTACATGTTTTCTTTTGCTGTGAAACCTATTAATAATCATCATTTAAGTATAACAGAAAATTAGAAAAATGCAAAAAAAAAAAAAAAAAAGCAGCAATTCAGTGTTTTGCTATGATATACTGTAAAGGCCTGTTAACTCAGAAATCTGTTTGATAGACAATTAACTAAAATTAAGAAATTAATTCTATTAAATTACTATTGTGTTATATATACTGTATGTCAGAAAAAATAACTAATGTAAAGCGTTTGTAACATCCTGCTGTAATACTGTTTACAGGATGTTAAATGGACACAAGATAGCAACGACTTACTGCCCAGTTACACAGACTCTGTTGAAAATCTTCCTGAGATTTGCAGACTTCACTGTCTGACATGGAGCTAGCAAACTACATTTCCCATAGGAGTTGGCAGATGGACAGGGCAGATAAATACAGAAACCCAGGAACTGGAGGACAGGAAGTGGACAGAGAGACCTGTAGAGCAGGTGTGGGGAGAAGACTGTGTGGTACCAACTGGGCCAGACCACAGAAAATGGAAGAGAGAGAGTGTTGCTGACTGCTGACACTGCTGGCATTGCTGACAAGTCTGGTGGACAGCCCTACAAGCAGGTGAGCCAGAGTGCTGCTGTCCAGGGTTATCTCTGAAGAAGGAAACACAAAGAATTGGGAGCCCCCTTCTACAGAGAGACTGTCTGCCATGTGACCGAGACCATGGATTGGGTAAAAGTATTCCATACCCAAGCCATCTGAGTTGCACATGAGATTGCCAAATCCAGCTATTCTCTACTCAGCTTGATCAATATCGTTTCTCAAGTTACACGTGTTAAGGCCCAAGTTGTTTGACCTACTAGTTATTACAGTTCCAGTATATCCATTCACAGAGGCCTACTGCGCTATCTTTCCCCTGCAGGCCCAGCTGTATCATTGCTTCAATCAGAGTCTGCCCATTTGCCAAGGAGCTCCTGCATTGCTGCAGTCTGCCCCTGTGGCCCAAGGAAGAACCCATTTCCACAAATGTGTTTTGCCCATTTCTGCTTCCTGCTAAATTCTGCACCTCACCATATGTGTGCAAAATTGGTACCATTTGAATGCAACATCACTTAAGGGGGCAGCTCCTTCCCTGTTGTGTACACCCCCTATTAAGGAACTTCTACCCTTTGCTTCAAGGAGGCAATCCTTATGTGCACCAACTAGTGCCCCACAAGCATTCATAAGATCAGACCTGCAGTTAAAGGGACATTAATTTATTTAATTGAAGCGCTCCTCTTTCCCTCAGAATTAGACTCAGACCTCAGCTACTGAGAGCTCAAAGTGGGTTAGGCTCTCTGCTTGGTAGTTTTTTTTTATTCACTGGGGAGGAAACATCTCTGGACTGAGGCTATCATTTGAATTCTGACTTGCAGGACCTCTAGAAATGATGGAGGTGACTTTTATTGTAGTTATTAGAGTGACAGCTGTTATCTTATGTGCATATTTTCTTGTTTACTATACCTAGCAATGATCCCAATACAACCAAAATATCAGTTCACTCTAAACTGTGTGTGAGCCTATTTTTATGGTTGTAGCCAGAGGACTCTTCTGCCTAGAGGTTTAAGGTGGTGTCAGCAGGGGTTTGGTTTTCAGAGCTGGGTCAAGACATACAGGGAACCTGAAATTTAATCAGTGGCTCCTGAGGGGGTAGTGCTACACATTCTTAAAAGAAACTGTCTCTTCATCTTATTTGGGCTAGCATATATCACACAGCAATTTATATGCAGGAAATAAAGGGTTATAATTATCTTTATTGGTGCAAACAAGTGTTCAACAGAGCACACGAACAACAATGCTAAACTTTGTAATCGCAGGGAACAGCACAAATTCATCTTCAGGGATCTACTTGCACTCCTGATTGCAGAGTCAGGAGTCCGGTGTCACATCTTAATTATAATTATAAAAATCATTCCAATCAGGGCTAGTTTTATGATGAAGCACAGCAGGCATGCATCTATAGGTGGCTAGTCCAGCTAGCTTCTTGAGCAGTTACTAGTAATCAGCCACACATTCTACCCCATAATCAAAAGAAACACACACATCCTGTACAAGCTTAGGATAGGACCAGTTTAGGACCAGTAAAAAAAATAAAATATTCTGTGTAAAAATGGTCATTTAAGAAAGCGGTGTTGAACTGTGCACCAAATTTGGCATTTCTGCAATCTCCAACAATCCGGTCCTTAGTATAGTTATGTTTTCAAACCATAGAGCTCTTCAGTTGTTTGTTCAAACCCTGAACATGTGCATACAGTACCTCATTAAAACACAAACTGATTATTTTCGAGATTACAGGCAAGCTGGTTAAATTGCATTATTTTTACCTCTGTCTAAGGTTTCTTTGTTGAGACATTGTGCCTGAGTCAACAGATGAGTTAGTGTTTTTGGAATCCTTTACCTTTACCTTGGTTTATGTTCCTTAGTAATACTGCCACATGAACTTTAATGGCATCCCAGTCTTAGTCCGTAGAGTTCAATATTGAGTTGGCCCACTCTTTGCAGCTATAACAGCTTCAAATCTTCTAGGAACGCTGTCCACAAGGTTTAGGAGTGTGTCTATGGGAATGTTTGACCATTCTTCCAGAAGTGTATTTATGAGGCACTGATGTCAGACAAAAAGGCCTGGCTTACAGTCTTCACTCTCATTCATTGCAAAGGTGTTCTATCGGGTTGAGGTCAGGACTCTGTGCAGGCCAGTCTAGTTACTCCACCCCAAACTGTTCCCTCAAAATTGGGAGCATGAAATTGTCCAAAATGCTTGACACAATGCAGCCAGACAAGTACCATTCTCCCGGCAACTGCCAAACCCAGACACGTCCGCCAGATTGCCAGACAGAGAAGCATGATTCATCACTCTAGAGAACACGTCTCCACTGCTCTAGAGTCCAGTGATGGAGTGCTTTACGCCACTGCATCCGAAGCTTTGTATTGCACTCGGTGATGTAAGACTTGGATGCAGCTGCTCGGCCACGGAAACACATTTCATGAAGCTCTTTATGCACTGTTGTGCTAATCTTAAGGCCACATGAAGTTTGGATGTCTTTACCTATTGACTCTGCAGACCATTGGTGACTTCTGTGCACTGTGCGCTTCAGCATGCGCTGACCCCACTTTTTTCATGGCTGAGTTGCTGCTATTCCCAGTTGCTTTCACTTTGTTATAATACCACTAACAGTTGACTGTGGAATATTTAGTAGCATGGAAATTTCACTGATGGACTCATTGCACATGTTTCCAGTGCTGCAGTGTCTTCCCAATCTGCCACCTGTAGCAACAGCAAGCCAGAGATCTTCTCCCCAATCTTGCTGTAACAACTAAAAAAGAAAAACGTGGCTGTCTGGGGCTCTGCCCACCAGGTCGCATCAGTTATTCGGAGAACTACAACTACAGACCGCCTTTGTGGCTGATGGCTTGTTTATTCAATGAACTACCAAAGCACTGGTGAGAGCTCTAGGTCAAACATGAAAGTTGGCGGTCTTTAGCTATTGACTCTGCAGACCATTAGTGACTTCTGTGTGTGCGCTTCAGCATGCACTGACCCTGCCCTGTCATTTTACATGGCCTACCACTTTGTGGCTGAGTTGCTGTTGTTCCCAGTTGCTTCCACTTTGTTATCATACCACTAACAACTGACTGCTAAATATTTAGTAGCAAGGGAATTTCAAGGATGGATTTATTGCACAGGTGGCAACCTATCAAGTTACCACGCTTGAATTCACTGAGCTCCTGAGAGTGACCTATTCTTTCACAAATGTTTGCAGAAGCAGTCTGCATGCCTATAGTTATGTTACATGTTCCACCCATTTTTACAGTGGAACATGTGAAGTTTCCAGTGCTGCAGTGTCTTCCCAATCTGCCACCTGTAGTAACAGCAACCCAGGGATCTTCTCCCCAATCTGACTGTAACAAAAAAAAAAAAAAAACATTGTTGTCTACCCTCCAGGCCTCATCATTCATTGGGAGAACTACAACTATGGACCACCTTTGTGGTTGATGGCTTGTATTCTCAATGAACTACCAGAGCACTGGTGAGTGCTCTAAGTTAGGGGTACCTTTGATGTGGTCTGCAACCTCCTGCTTTGGGATGGTGAGTTGGCAAACCCAGATCACACAGTGCACCTGTGGGTTACCTGCACTGAGTCATAGTCTTCGGTTATTACCTGTAAGTTGGTGCGCTTTCTGAAAGCACACCAAAACTCTTGAATGCAGGAGTTTTGGTGAACTTTCAGAAAGTGCACCACATCTGCAGGCTATATTAGAATCCTAAGGCAAAGTAAAGCTAACCCTCAGGAAAGCCAACCACAGTGCATCAATGTGAATGCAGCCTTAGGCCCCTTTCAGATAATTGGTTCAATTGGACTCTTCTTTCACTCCTGTGGTGGACTTATTCCCATTTACACCCACCTACCTCTAATCCAATACGCTAAACAAAACAGAAGAGGATCCATCCCCTTCCGTCTAGGTGGATCCAATCGAAGAGCCCATAGAGTAGAGCGGGCTGTGTCCATTCCCACTCTGCATATGCAGAGCAGACACAGAACTGTCATTCTCCTGCTCCACTCATTGTGGGCTGTGAACATTTACCAAGTCACTTTAGTGGCCCTTGTTCTTCAAAAGGTTGGTCACCCCTGCTCTAGATAATTCATTGATGCTTTCTGTCAGTGTTTTTCAGGCTCCTAAAAAAAATAAATAAATAAATGCACAACTTTTCTACCTACATTTTTTTTTTAAGGTGAACTTTTCCTTTAAATGAAACTGACCCAAAGCCATTATAGTTTCCCTTTGATGAAAGTATAACCCTTTATTAACATTTTAGTAAGAATATTTGTATATTTTCATTATATAAAGACATTTCATTTGCAGTATGAACATGAACTGATCTCTGCAGAGCTGTGGAGCACAACTGGTAGTTGGGTGACTAACTACAGAAAACATCCTTGGTATCTAATTGATGATAATTCTCTTTATACATTTTAGGATCTCACAGCATGTATATTACAAAGTGATAGTAGTTTCTTTTTGTTGCAAACTTCAAATTAAAATCTGTGCAAAGCAGAATTATAAATAAGAATGAATTGCACTTCTGTTGAAATAATGGCATTGTTGTTCACCCATCACATATTTCCTACATTACAGAGCACACATTCTTGTCTACATTCATGAAAGAAGGTGATCCTTTCCTTTATGTATCTATCATGTATTACCCATCATTAGTACTTCCTGGAAATGGCTCCATAGTGAATATGTGACATGAGTATACTTTAAATAACTCCTGTGAGACACAAGTTATTATGTTTCCTGACATATGTCTTGAGAATCAATGATGTAAATGGAATATATTGGGAAAAGAATAGTTGGACATTAATCTATATTCTGGGAACACTTTTGAACACCTTTGTGCTATGACTGTGACCTCTGTGCTGTCAGTCACTAAATAAATCAATGTTTGCACACTGAGTCTTTATACTCAGATGCCTCTGGTGACTTATCTAATTCAATGAAAAAAAAATAACAGACAGTTCATTATGTGTGGCCATACAGTCACCTCCATTATGCATGGAACCTCCATTTTCATACCATTAGAGGCACTGAGATATCGAGATCTTTGTATTTAAAGTATATGCTGACTACTACAGTGATTGTCAGCTTTCACAGCAGTCCACCAGATATTAAATATGCAAGTTGGACATTTGCAATAATGCAAATAAGATCATACCTAGAATTCAGTTTTAAGCTCTAGAGCTTGGTCACCAATCTGCTGCCAGTCTATGATTGAACACTGACAGAGAAGCAGCATACTGGTGTATTCATCAGCTTGCTATCTCATGCAAGCATTACCAGTTTATTAACTTGTAGCACTGCACAAAACAATAGAGCTCTAACTGGCTCAAAATACTTCCTTAACGTTCAGATTCCGTCTTGATGCAGATTACATGAAGCTGTTGATCAGGTTGCATTCAGGTTTTTATGTTATTTTTATAAAAAATTTTTTATTTAAAATTTTAATGATTGTATAACTATATAATGGTGTTTGGAGTTAGCTTTAAGTATTGTAGCCAAAATGCAATAGAATATTACATGGGAAGCATAAAAGGAAAGACCTGCTGCAAAATGGTGCTGGCATTAAGAGAATCCTTATATTAGACATAGGTGCTATTGAACAACACAAACAACACATTATTTACAGGGCCATTTTCAACCCGTAATGAAGCAGCGTGGGGTAAGGTGTCCCTACCTTTGTAGCTCGTAAAGAAACAGAATGTCATAATAATAAGGGATGGAGATTTAGCACTAGGGTAAAGTTGATAGTATTGTCTAAAGTAGTACCACACTCAATTAACCTTATCTGATGCAACAGAGGCCTGGGAATAGGGTAGGGCATAGAAAGAAACCAGAGATCATGGATATGGCCAAGCCTTACAGATCTTTTATCCATCATAAAATGTTTAATTGCATGGGAGAAGGTATAACGGATAGACATATGACCACATATATAAATGAGATCATCACACAAATAAAAATGATCCAACTTGGAGTGTCAATATCCATGAAGATATTGATTTGCGAGGGTAGCTGATTTTGTCCCATATGTGGGAAAATTATGTGCATATGTCCTAATCTTCCCAAAAAAAAAAAGCCCCATCCGTTGTGGCTTTGAATTGAAGTCCTGAAATAAATGTGCTTCCAGGATGCAGAAGAGCACAGCAACAACAAGAGCTACCTGATTCAATAAATTTCAAAGAGCCAAATTCATGGATGCAAACAGGTTGCTTTTATTCAGGGACCCTGGAGGTGAGACTGTAACACTGATTTTCCATTGCGTTTCCATTTCAAGTCACCTGCTAGAGCCATTCAGTTTGGTCTCACTTTCCACTAATAATTGAAGAGAACTAGTTAAGCACCGAAATATACTTTGAAGTACCCTTGTGAAGTCTGGTTTACCTCATTGACTGTCTGCTTGGAGATACTGCATGCAAATCCAGGCAATTGTGGGATTACCAACTCCCCTTCCTCACTATTTATTTAACAATATATAATACCAGTGCTATAAAACACACAATTAAATAGTTGAGCAATACAATAATATTATGAAAAACTGTGCAATAATAATAAAACTCATATAAAAATGTATAGTTTCAAAACAGTCCATATATATGCAATCTTGTGTAAATAGGACAAAAAAAAAAGGTCCAAAGCAGTTTGATAAGTATTCTTTCCACCACTTAAATCACCATTGTGCAGAAAACGTAATTTAAGATGTCTACAGAGGAAGCCTGAAACTTTACTAATAGATAACAGTCAGTATAGGCAGACAGCACAGGAAGTCAGGAGTTTACTGGATTTCTCACAGGATTAACAGTCATCAAACATACAGTATAGAGAAAAAAATGGTTTCAGTGGTATATTTACAAGAGTTTACATATACTTTAAATCCTGAAATAAATGAACTCATTAGCAACTGTTATTTATTAAATTTAATTATCAATTTGACCAGTGGCAGATTTTGTTCTGTATGTGATCAGTGAATATAATGTGACCTTCTCACAAACTCTTTATGCCAAGAAGCTCGCTGTGAAGAGTGGGAGATAAGCAAATGGATAATCTGCTTCTTACGATGTCTTTTATAGCAATGTTGAGGCAGAATAATAGCTCTCCAAATAGCTAGATATATCCATTACAGAATACTTGCAGTATCAATGTCCAAACATCATACAAATAAACACAGCTGTAAACACAGTTAATGTAAGTAATTTTTCTCCTTATAAAATACACGCCTCAGACTGATTTTGCAGAATTGTGTTCAGGGCTCTTTCACACAAGATGTGTATCAAAATCCTTGAAGTGCACACATTTCTATGTGTTTTTTTATACATTGCAACACAATTTGCAGGTCTCTATTCAATGGACGTGAATGGAAATCTGAATGTCTATATTGGTGCTTAGCTCTACAGTATATACAATAATATAAGAATTGCTGGTGCAGCACCCTCAACGAAGCTGTTTTTAATGGGTCCTCCTAGTCTTTTCACCAGTCATCTGGCCTACAACTGGACCAAACCACTCACCGACCCAACAGCAGCAACTGTAGGTTTATGCCATGATGTGCTAGTGTAAAAAAGGATGCCTGCTCGCATTTTTTTGCAAATATAACTTTAACACTGCTTTAAACAATGGTACAGTGCATGGTTTAAAGAACTGGGAGGAGCATAAGCTCCCACCCCTTTCATCCATGTGTGTTGGGCTTTGCACAACAACTGTGGAGCCACTTCACACTTTAAGGGGTTTATTCATAAAAATACGATTTCCTATGATTGTCTGCTCCATCTACTGGCAGAAAGTGGTGTTTTATCTGAAATACCTCAATCAGAAGAAACGCCACATTATAGCCACTGGATGGATTTATTGTTAATGGCACACCAAATGCAGTGGTAAACACACATTTTTCTTTGTGAAGAAACAAGCGACAAACATAGAAAAATGTGCAATAAAAAATGTGCCAGCCGCAACATGCCAAAATGTCCCATTAGTACTTTGCCACAAGTAAGGCTGCGCTATGTGTGCTGTGGGAAGAATAAGGCAAAAAATGTGTGCTCCCACTATACAGTAATAGGTATGAATGGAGCCTGAAAGTGAAATTGGTGTGTTTACACAAGAACAGGGAGGCTCCATTCACATCTATGCATTTCCAAACACACAATAAACCGCCTGGAAAACGTACTTTGCTGCATGTTTGGTAAACAAATGCACTGCAAATGCACCAAAAATGTGGCAAA